TTAATTTCTTTCTGTCTGCTCAATGCTGCAAGTTTCATGACAGGATTTGATTTAACGTTAGTATTTTTCTGCAGGGGCATCACCAAATCAAAATGAAAATGTTCATCAGACTCCGACTGATCTCCTGAAGAACATAACTGATGGAGACAAGCTGACCTGTAAACACAAAGTCAAGAGCTACGACACTATTGTGTGGTATCATCGCCCAGCAGGAGACACCTCTCTGAAGCTAGTTGGTTTTACAAGTTATAAAGAAATTCAGACTGTGGAGAAACCCTATGAGGGCTTATTCAGCGTGAGTGGAAATGGAGAGGTTGAAGCATTCCTGCACTTGGGCAAACTCAGGCACCCTGAAAACAGCGGGCATTATTTCTGTGCAGTTTCTAGTCCCACCACAGCAGAAAAGCCTGAAATTCCTCGACAAAAACCTTCATCTGACCCTGAACACCTGCAGCAAACCACGTGCCCACAAACCTTTGCAGACAGTGGGAGGAGCTGCGCTGGAGAAGCTGACAGATGCAGCGAATTCTAGTCCTTTTCAAATGGCAGCTGGGATTCGAGCTGGTTTATCACATTCAACATGAACTGGTCTCATCTCTTCATACACATCATCATCTGCATTAAAGGTATTCATAGAGACTCTCTGTCCTTTAGAATTTTGACTTAGAAGTGGTTTCCATGTTTTCTATTTGTATAAAAACTATAAAACTTTGTAATTTGGGCATTCATAATAGCATTCAATTAATGGTTTTATTAGTGTTCAACAAGTAATTTACCAATGATCAGACTTTCTGTTTAAATCCTGAATCCTCAGTTCTAACAATAGCTCGCTGTCCTTTCCCCAGTGTCTTTGCATTCAGGTAACAAAAATCATTGTGACTGAAATATATCAAAAACAGTTTATGTTATTTATATAGAGAGTTCTTCTACTTGTTGTCCAATAGATCGTTTAGAGGTTCGACTTGAGATTATTTCCTGTCGGTCTTATTTCCTACTACTCGACACTCTTTTGTATACTGCCAACACTTTATTCACTGTTAGTCTCTTATCGTTTTTTATTCACTTATTCAGTCACTGTCATTTTAAAACTGTGTTAAGTATTTTTTTGTCTCACTCTTATTGTCTGTTTATGCCCTGTCCTTATTTTTAACGTCATGCTGCTCTGTTGTATCTTAATTGGCCCTTGGGGATAAATAAAGTCTCTGATTCTGTCATCAATGAGGACCACAGAGGGTTCATCTTTTATTGGACAATTAAGTGCTGCAAAGCATCTGAACTAGTTATTTCCAATTATGTTACCCTTCCATGGTCAGCCTTCAGCAGAGACATGTTCTAGAAAGGCAGCCACATTAGGGTGATTAGTTCTGATTTTCAGTATTTCCCTCTCTCTGAGTCCGTCTACAAGACAGCAAGACACGGGACAATACAGACCAGCTTCTAAAAGATTAGGAATTAAAGTTGCTAATAGCTGTTATTTTAAATAGGGAGTCCAGGGGAATGTACGCACAAGCACAGGTCATTTAAAGAGGTTAAGAGAGAGAGTTAGGGATAGGGTTTA